CCGCTTCACTCCTCTCTGCTCATGGGCAGGATGGGCCTTCCTTCTTGCCCTGCGCGATGCTTGTCCTTGTGTGCTGCTGGCGGTCGGAGCCGTGCTTGAGAATTGCGTCGCTGGTGCACAGCTGCAGCGCGGTAGTGGAAGGTCCTGGAGAGGTACATACAGATAGATAGGCTAGGCAGACGGGGCATTCCTCATAGGCTAGGCAGACGGGGCATTCCTCCTTCTCATCCTTCCTCCTTGCTCCTTCCTCTCCCCCCTTCCCTCCCTCCTTAGGACGAGGAGTATGAGCTAGTGCGGTAGTCCGGCGGATGAGGAGAAATAGTCTTTCCTCGCTCCTTCTTCCCTCCCTCTCTCTCCCTCCCTCCTCCCTGCTTCCTTCGACCGCAGGTCCTGGTACGACGATCCTATTCGGACGCTTCTCAACGGCGAGCCTGTCGCCGCGCAGGGTGACGCCACGGCCACAACGGTAGACGCGTTCGGGAAGGAGAACGGTTCGCAGGTGCTCGCTGCCCCAAGCGTGGTTGACAAGGTCATCGCTCACGCCCGAGGCTTCGCGGTCGCGTCGCGGGACTCGCGGGCCCAGGTCCGCGCGATAGAGGATGAGTTTTTCCATGGCCCGCTGGCCGCGTCGCTGGTGGCGATGCAGGCGCTGGACTTCCACAAGCAGGACGGTCTTACCGAGATAGAGGAGAGCACTCAGGCGTACCTGGTGGAGCGCAAATTGAACGATGCTCTGTTTCAGGACGAGCTCGAGGGCAGGTTGGCTATCGGCCGCGCGGCAGCCTTCGTCGGCTGTGTGAGCAACTTTACGAATTTCCTCGACCTGTGCAGAAAGATCTTCAGGAACGTCGAGCTGGGTGTCCCCGTCGTCGTGCTCTCTCGCTCCAACACCACGCAACACATGTACAGGTATGTGGTGCAGCTTCTTGGACTGATGAAGCAGCGAGGCATCGACGCTGGGCTCTGCACCTACTGCTCCTGCTCCATCGAGGAGCAGCGCAGACTTCTTGCTGCCTGCGGGGGCGAGTCGCCGATGTACTTCACCGGCTCGCGCGCGGTGGCCAGCCGCATCAAAGAGGTCGCACCGAAGCTCATGGCATCAACGGGTGGACCGAACACGATGGTCGTCGGGCCGCAGTGCTTCACTCCCGAGGTTCGGGAGGATCGAAACGTGGACGGAAAGAGAGGTGCCTGCCCGGTTTGAGCAGGCTGTCGGTGTCGCTGCGGACGTTGCCCACCTGGGGCACAGCGTCGCCTGCCCAGCAGCTGCCGCTGCCATTTCGGGCCAACACTCGGCGTCGGGCATCGCCCGCATCCTTCTCCTCGGAGGGCACCAACTATACACCAACACCGATCCTGGCCCAGGATCACCCTGGGCCCAGGATCGATGTACATGCCTTCTTGCGCAAGGCAGGCGGGCGTATACACCACTCCCGGGCCCAGGGCGATCCTGGGCCAGGATCGGTGCTGGTGTATATAGTTGGTGCCTTCCTATTCTCCCGCCCCCCACCTCGGGCGTGCCGAGAGGTGGCAGAGGCCGCGCGCATGTCCAGCCTCATCGAGCACAAGGGCCAGTGCACCGCCATGCGCCACCTCGTGCTGCCGGGGGCCACGGCGGCCGACGTGGCGGCCATCTACGAGGGCGCGGCGCGGCTCGGCGGCGCCGCGGACTGCCTGGAGAGGGGGGCGTTCTCGGCCCTGCTCAAGGGCCTGGCCTCGCCGCTTGCGGAGGGGTGCCTCGCGGGCGGGGGCCACGCCCACAGCCGCGGCCTCGCGGTCTGCCTCCTCCTCCTCCTCCTCCTCCAATTCCTCCTCCTCCTCCTCCTCCTCCACCTCCTCCTCCTCCTCCTCCTCCTGGCCGCGACCCCACCGATACAGGGCGGCTCTGCACGGATGACCCGCGCGCCGCGTGTCCATCCGGATCGCGCCTCCATGGGATCGCGCCCCGGTGTGCGGGCCGCGAGGGCACGGCTGCGGACATGGTCATCGCTGGGAAGGTACGCCGCCCTCCGCCTGCAGGGCTCTCCAGCGGACGGCTGCGTGGCCGTGAGGACGTCGAGTAGCAAGAAACGACAGACATAAACCCTCGGAGGTCCGCGCGGACCTCGGAGAGTCGATTTCCCAAACAGTGCAAGGGGTTCTTCTCTCCGCTCTCCTATGTAATTGTTTGGGTTGTCCGAGTTTTCGCCCAGTCGCCTCCTGCCGCCGCTTCGTCGCCTCCATGAGTGCTGCCTGGGTTTTACCGGTTTTCGCTCGGTTGCCTCCTGTCGCCACCTCGTCACCGCCTCGTGTGCTGGCTGGGTGTTCTGAGTTTTCGCCTGGTCGCTGTCCGTTGCCGCCTTGTCTCCGCCTCGTGTGCCGGCTGTGTTTTCTGAAGTTCCACCGCCACCCGCAGATTGACAACACAGATTGCACTAGATGAGCTACACCACATAATCAGGTTGCACCACGTATCGAAGACGCCTACGGCGAATCACCGCCGCCCCCTGCCTTTTTGGAAACGCCGATGTGGCCGAAAGTTGGACTAGAGCTTGGCCAAGCTATCGGACCATGAGTTCCCCGAGTCGGTTTGGAAAGCTTTCGGGGAACACATGGGAGAGAATGATTATGAACAGGAAGAGGAAGAGGAAGAAATAGAGTAGGAGGATGAGGGTTGTTAGGAGTCTCTTGGGGCACCCTTGGGGTCTGTTGGGGGCTTCTTGGGGGCCTCTTCGAGGCCTCTTGGAGGCATCTTGGGGGCCTCCTTGGGCCTCTTGGGGGCCTTTGGGGGCTTCCTGGGGGTCTCTTTGGCCGTCTTAGGGCGTTCCTGGTCCGTCTGACGCCGTCTGGAGCCGTCTTGGGGGCCTCTCTGGGCCGTCTTGGGGCCCTCTTGGGGCGCTTCAGGGCCGTCTTGGAGGCCATGTTGGGCGTCTTGGAGGCCTCTTGGGCCGTCTTGGGGCGCTCTTGGGGCCGTCTTGGGGGGCCCTTGGGCCGTCATAGGGCCTTCTTGGAGGCCTCTTGGGCGATCTTGGGGGCCTCTTGGGCCGTCGGAAGGCCGAAAAGAAGAAAACGCAAAAAACCTTCAAAAACCTAAGGAAAACCAATGATTTTGGCCTCTTCGGGCTCTCCTGGAGAACGTCTTGGAGGCCTCTTGGGCCATCTTGGAGGCATCTTGGGGCCATCTTGGCCGTCTTGGAGGGCATCTTGGGCCGTCTTGGAGGCATCTTGGAGCCATCTTACCCGTCTTGGAGGCCATCTTGGCCGTCTGGGAGGCATCTTGGAGGCCATCTTGGGCCATCTTGGCCGTCTTGGAGGCCATCTTGGGCCAAGTTGGGGCAACAAAGGCATTGACAGACGGATTTTGGGAAAATTACGGGTGGCCGGCGGGACGGGCCGAAGCCCACTGGGGAGTTCTTTTAGAAAAAGAACCAAAACCAAAACCTGAAACATCCAGCACGCCGTGCACCCCTGCAAGCAGGGGGCGGCGGATCGAAGACGCCTACGGCGAATCACCGCCGCCCCCTGCCTTTGTGGAAGCGCCTATGTGGCCGAACGTTGAGGCCAGACCTGCCAAGCCATCGGACCATGTGTTCCCCGAATCGGTTTGGAAAGCCTTCGGGGAACACGTGGGCGTCTTGATGGTCATCGTCGCCGTCTTGGAGGCCTCTTGGGCGATCTTTCGGCGATCTTTGGGGGCTCTTGGGCCGTCTCGGGCCGTCGGAAGGCCGAAAAAAGGGAAATGCCCAAATCCATCAAAAACCTTGGGAAAATCAGTGATTTTGGCATCTTTTGGCCTTCCTGGAGGCCCTCTTGGGGGCCTCTTGGGCCCTTTTGGGCCAGCTTCGAGCCAACTTCGGCCATCTTGGTGGGTTCCTGGCACGTCTGACGCCGTCGGGAGCCGTTTTGGGGGCCTTTCTGGGCCAACGGGGGACCCTCTTGGGGCGCTCCAGGGCCGTCTTGGAGGCCATCTTGGGCGTCTTGGAGGCCATCTTGGGCGTGTTGGAGGCCTCTTGGGCCGTCTTGGGGCCCTCTAGGGGCCATCTTGGAGGCCACTTGGGCCATCAGGGGGCTCTCTTGGGGGCCTCTTGGGCGATCTTGGGGGCTTCTTGGGCCGTCTTGAGCCGTCGGAGAGCCGAAAAGGCGCAAATGCCAAAATCCTTCAAAAACCAAGGGAAAATCAATGATTTTGGCCTCTTCGGACTCTCCTGGAGGACCTCTTGGAGGCCTCTTGGGCCGTCTGGGAGGCCTCTGGGGGGCCTCTTGGGCCGTCTTGGGCCGTCTTGGACTCTCTTGGGCCGTTTTGGAGGCCGTCTTGGACCATCTCGGGCGGACTTGGAGGCCATCTTGGGCCATCTTCGCGATTTTTTGAGGATGTCCCGAGCGAAACGGCCGTTCTTGGAGGATTTTTTGCGGTCGTTGAGCACGTTTGGGGAAATTCCGGGTGGCCGGCGGGTTCTGCCGGAGCCCACTGGGAAGTTCTTTTAGAAAAAGAACCAAAACTAAAACCTGAATCATCCAGCACGCCGTGCACCCCTGCAAGCAGGGGGCGGCGGATCGAAGACGCCTACGGCGAATCACCGCCGCCCCCTGCCTTTTTGGAAGCGCCTATGTGGCCGAACGTTGAGGCCAGACCTGCCAAGCTATCGGACCACGTGTTCCCCGAATCGGTTTGGAAAGCCTTCGGGGAACACGTGGGCATCTTGAAGGTCATCTAGGCCGTCTTGGAGGCCTCTTGGGCAAGCTTTGGGCGATCTTTGGGGCTTTTTGGGCCGTCTCGGGCCAGCTTCGAGCCAACTTCGGCCATCTTGGTGGGTTCCTGGCACGTCTGAAGCCGTCGGAAGCCGTTTGGGGGGCCTCTATGGGCCGACTTGGGGCCCGCTTGGAATGCTCCAGGGCCGTCTTGGAGGCCATCTTGGGCGTCTGGGAGGCCATCTTGGGCGTGTTGGAGGCCTCTTGGGCCCTCTTGGGGCCCTCTAGGGGCCATCTTGGAGGCCACTTGGGCCATCATGGGGCTCTCTTGGGGGCCTCTTGGGCGATCTTGGGGGCTTCTTGGGCCGTCTTGAGCCGTCGGAGAGCCGAAAAGGCGCAAATGCCAAAATCCTTCAAAAACCAATGGAAAATCAATGATTTTGGCCTCTTCGGACTCTCCTGGAGGACCTCTTGGAGGCCTCTTGGGCCGTCTGGGAGGCCTCTGGGGGGCCTCTTGGGCCGTCTTGGGCCGTCTTGGACTCTCTTGGGCCGTTTTGGAGGCCGTCTTGGACCGTCTTGGAGGCATCATAAGGCCATCTTAGCCGTCTTAGAGACCATCCTGGCCGTCTTAGAGGCATCTTGGAGGCCATCTTGGAACCGTCTGGGGCAGGAAATTGGGGAATTGAGCTCCTGGGCATCCTTTCCGGGTGGCCGGCGGGACGGGCCGAAGCCCACTGGGGAGTTCTTTTAGAAAAAGAACCAAAACCAAAACCTGAAACGTCCAGCACGCCGTGCACCCCTGCAAGCAGGGGGCGGCGGATTTAATGACCTTCGGCCCATCCCGCCACCGTGCCTGTGGGTATGAAGCCTACTTGAATTTCGTTGGGATCTCGTGGGGTGCTTCTCGGGGGCCTCTTGGAGGCAGTTTGGACGCTTCTTGGGGGCCGTTTGGGGGCTGTTTGGGGGCTGTTTGGGGGCCTCTTGGGGCCTCTTTTGGGCCTCTTTGGGGGCCTCTTGGGGCCTCCTGGGGGCCTCGGGGCGGAAGGCTCGGATTTTCGGTTTGTATTCTCTCTTTTGGACCCCTTTTGGGGCCGCGGTTTTGGGGCCCTCTTGTAGGCCTCTTGGTCCGTCTTAGGGCGGTCTTGGGGGCCTCTAGGGCCGTCTGGGAGCGTCGGGAAGCCGAAAAGGCTAGAACGCAAAACACATTGAAAAACCATGGAACAGCCCATGATTTTGGCCTCTGAGTGCCCTCTTGGGAGGGCTCTTTGGGCGTCTTGGAGGCCTCTTGGGCCGTCTGGGGGCCATCTGGAGCGTCTCGAGGCCATCGTTCGGCGACTCGAGGCCTTCTGGGGCCGTCTTGCAGCCTTTTCGGGGCCCTCTTCGCCCGTCTTGGGGCTCTCAGGGACCCGAAACGGTCACCCGACAAAACGCGGGGGAGCCCACGGGAACAGCGACAAGTCCCAGAGAAGCCGGGAATATGGGGTCCGGGCCTCTTGAAGACTCCTCAGGAGTGGGGATTGAGGTTTAGAGGATTGGGCCCAGGACCTGAGGACACGCTTACTCCGTGCCCAGCGGCACGGTGGCGGATATTTTTTCCTGCAGAGAAGTTGGCTATGTCCGCATGTAGTGGCCGAATTTCATGGTATACCTGTGCATGCGTTCTATTTACCATGCGTATTCCGCACGGTCGTCCATCTGAAAAATGAGTTCGTACCATCCCAGCAAGTCCCCACATCGAACACCGACCAACTTCACCCCAATCAAATAATACCATGCGGGACATTCGCTTGATCTTCCAATGCTATTGTCAATGTGCCCGCATTAATAATACTGTACAGGCCACCCTCGCGAGCACATGATACAATCCATGAAGCACGTTTCCTTATAATGTCAAGCATAAGCGATCACTCATGTTCATATTTCCAGATTTCTGTGCGCCGCGTCAGGCAAATCGTATAACATGTTTTATTAAGTATCATCCAGGACCCACTGAAGACACGTTGCCGTTTCAGGGATATCTTGCTCGTCTTTGGCTGCCCGCCCCATCATCTTCGTCGAAGACTGCCAGGAACGCCACACGCGCGCGCCTCCTCGCGCCACGTGCCATCACTTCAGACACATGCAGCAAGCAATCAAGTCAATGCGTGCCATTGCAGAATCTCCCCCACCTCACCATCACTCGCCCGCACGAGTCATCGGTCTGCATGCGAAAGATCCGCGCGTCATTGCGCCTGCTGGGAATTTCTCCAAATAGGCTTCCCCTGTAGGAGTTCTAACTCAAACCTTGCTAATTTTTCCGTTGCCCCCCCCAATTCCTATGCCCCCCCAAAATCCGATGGCCTTTTTCAATGGCACCCCCCAGCTATTTCCAATGGCGAATCCT